CCTACTTTAACTCAACACCAGCCAGATCTGTAGCTTCTGCTACCAAGCTGTTTGCTAAATATAAAATGGTATTCACCTGCAGCCTCATCAACAACTAATGACGTCTGCCTGGCTCTAGTGAGTTGAGTGGGCTTTGGATTAGGCCTCAATGCATGAACATAAGACCATATTTCTGAACAAAACAATACAATATTAGCAACAAAGGAAGTAGCATTCCAAATATTTCCCATTACTTTCAAATTAGAATTGTTAAAGGATGGCACCTGAGTTCGAGTCCTGACATGCAAAACTGATGTGTTTCCATAAGAAAGAAATTGAAAAGTGAAAATGAAGGCCAACCAAAAGCTACTATGTCCTTACGATAATCTTGTTTTATTTTCACTGCTCTAGAGGGAATTACTGTTGCATCTGAAAATCCAGAGCTGAAACTGATATATGTTACTCACCATAACCAACATAAAGATCCTAATGGCAACTTTCAATCCACTTTGGAACTTGAATAGAAATAAGGTAAGTAGCACCATTTTGGTAACGACTTGCAGCTCTGAAAATACTGCTGCTACCAGAAGTGCACAGATGTCACAGTGAGCATACATTCATAAGCAAAATGTTCAACTGCCATTGATGCAAAATATGGAAATAGCACAGTCTGTGCCTCTCACTACCAGGTCAGACTTGCAGGGCAAAGAGCTGAAAAATCATCTTTGTACTTGTGCACTAATTACATTCTGTAAACTATTTCGCAACTAAATTGAAATAAATAAAAAAAAAATTACAATCTGACAACAATGTTATTTCAAAATATTATCTTCTTATAAAGTGAGCATTTTGTAAAAGCCAACCAGTATAAGAATTTTTCTCTTCCTAACACAGACCTACCTTGCAGTGTGTAAATGTGTTCTTTATTACGTAAAGAACTGAGGATGGAAGGGTGCGAATACTCTCCAGAGGCACACACTCTTGCAGCGTGCAGACGTATCGTACACAACCAGTCAGTGTTTCCAACAGTTGCACCATAGTCTTAAAGCAAGAATAAACAACAACACTCAATGTTTTTCATTCCTGCAATAATTTCAAAAGCATCTTTTCTTAGCTGAATTGCACCGAGATTTTTATGCTATTTAAAGTTCACTGCGATTTCCATAAATAAATAGTTTGTTAAAGCTTAATGAAGCTCCATAAAATAATAGCACGCAATTCCAGAGCTTTTCTCCAATACCATGTACTCTCTGAAAGCTTCATGTTTCTTTTGACTACTGTTCTCAATTTTCAAAAATTTTAAAACTCAGAGTGACCGTATAAATAGATGCCAAAGTCACTCTTTAAATATGGAGAATCACATTCAATTTGCATTAGGAACTTACGCAGAATTGGAGATATTTTTTTTTAATTATAATTAGCATCACATGCTCTATGTAATCAAATCATTCACAAACTGTTAATTGAATTTCAACTGCAAAGGAAGATCACATTACATTTTAACCACCTGGTTAGTAGCTGACAAAAATATTCTAAAAACTTCTTAACTGCTTAGGTAAAATCAAAGAATAATATAAACATTCCTTTGACAGCTTATTTGATGGGACTTGCCTGTAGAAGATGCCTTACAGTACTGCATAACTCTGTATTCTGGCTGGTTAATCCTTTGGCCTCACTGGATAATTCATACATCAAGTTATCAAATAACTGTAGAGTCTGTCAGAATAAACCAAAACTTTAACATTTTATTTATAAATGTACACATGCAAATAGTAACACCATTCTATATCTGCTTGCTTCCTTGGTATTAAGTAACGGGCTACCAAGATGATAGGTCAAAGGAGAAAATAACGCTTTCTAGCATTTGAATCATAAAGCATGGTATACCAAGAAGTAAAAACCATCTTATGGCTTTCCCAAATTATAGACAGAAGCTACAGTAGATGTTGCTTTTCTAAAATATGTTAGTAAAAACAACTTGCCAGCTAAATCACTTGAAATATATACTTCATGCCACCGAAGATTTTTTTTACTTAGTTAAAACGACATCATTTTAAAAGGATTTCCATTTTGTCTCAGAAAAATTAGGGATTTTTTTGTTGATAATGACCATTAACATTTTGAATACCTAAAAAATGCCCATGGCCTACAAAGAACAATAATTTCGCTTTGATTGAGGTCCTTGGGTATTTGACAAGTGTTACTGCTGAGACTGCAAAGACAGCGAGATGCTTCCAGGCATGTGCAAGATACTACATCAACTGGTATGGTACAGTAATCCTTGTTCAAGATATGCCTGTTATGAGCCATTTTTCTTATAATCTCCAAAATTTGCTACAGGACATAAAATAAGACAAATGGAAATCAAGCGGCCATGTTTACTGGCTTCTTAAAATATACAAGCTGAGGCCTGAAACTTAAATAAGCAATTTGGCACTGCTTCACTTCAATTAAAATGTAAGCACTGAAGAATTTAGACACAACTACAGCACAAAATTCTCCATCACTTAATCAAAAAAGAGAACACACCTTAGGCCACTAGGGCCTAAAAGTTTATTCACTGTATTATTCACAAATTTCACAACATTTATTTGTGATATGAGTGTTGGGTTCTTCAGTTTATTTGTCCTGAGAGGCCACCTCACATAAAAATTCACCTTGGTCATTTTATAAAAACTCCAATAGTCTCAAGAAGAAATAAAAAACAATTCTACTACTGAATATAGGAAGTAGAATATCATATGTTCAATCCTCTCCCCACTGTAAAGAACAGTAACAATCCCAGAAAAAACCCAACACAAAATTGATAAAACTTTTAAAGGGTCAAATTTTGATTTCAAGTTTTGTATCCAAAACAATAACTACATTGTGTGACCTCAAAAAAGAAGGACTGCATTCTGAGCAGGTTTTAGCACTTGACTGACTGAAAATTCCACATTTAATTGAAGCTGTCGTACCTTAGGTAATACTTTTGAGAAAAAAGTTTGTTCTAAATCTGCGAGGCTGATATGGGGCAAAAACATTTCAGTCAGGATCCTCAACACACCTGCAAAGCAAAACATTACAGAAAAACAATGTGCGATTATCAGAAACATGTAGCAACCTACCAGATGAAACAAAGAACTGCATCAAACAGAAACCGATCAGGGATCAGGTATTTGATTTTGAGAGAGGCAACATAACATTTGCCACATATGCATTATCTGACAAATCTAGTAACAGTATCAGCTCCAACATGCATAAACCCATCAATAATAGCATCACACCTGACTGCACTTAGTTGAAGGCTGAGCAAAATTGTTTACCCACAGAACAAGAATTTTCATTATTCCAAACTGAAAATAGTCACACATTTAATGTGCTTGTTGGCACGAATATGCAACTTAACAGTGAACATTAGCAAGCCTCCTAAACAGTTATACATCTGTTTCATTTTCTTATCACTACCAGGTGTGACAGGAGTTTTGCCACCTGGGACAACAGCCAAAAAGACAATAAAATACAAGATAAAAAGCACCCTTCTTTCAAGTACCTAAAAATCAGACGCAGCAGAAAGGAAAAAGCAGCCTTACGTGCATGGCTACATTATGGGCATTTATAAAGCTTATTCAACATGCAACTTGTGTAATGTGCGAGGTCCAGGATTGTGGAAGACCATGAAAATCACTAGTTATAGCATAAGTATTTTTAAGTAGCACAGAATTTTAATGCAATTGCAACACAACAATCTGCAGGAAGAAGAGGCACTCCTTGGTCACTACTTACGAATATGCTCAGTCCAGTCTTCTGACTCTTGATACAGAGAGTAAAAACGTTAAAGAAACTCAAACGCGTTCTGCAATAAAAGTTTTCTTTAAAGCATCTGCAGAAGCCGCGGTGGCTTCTCTCACGCTCTCCTGCATACGCTTCATCCATCCTATGAAAATGGTGGGGATGCTCCATAACCAACGTGGGCAGACAAACTTCAGTACCCGCACGACAAGCACATGTATTTCTGCAATGTATTGGGAGAGTAAGTCTTGGGTTTATTTTTTTTTGGGGGGGTGGGTATGTTGTTTGTTTGCTTTGGGGGCGGGGGCAGGATTGAACTGTGCAATGCTGAAGGACGAACACCCCCACATACACACACACCCCCCCGCGCCATTTCGGGGTGGCTCCCCTCAGCCACCCCCGCAGCCGGACCACCCACACCCCCACCTCCGCGGGAAGGATATAAGAAGCCGGGGCAGAACGGCCGGCAGCTCCCGGCGGCAGAGATCCCAGTCCCAACTTCCCAGCTCTTGCAAGAGCAGCTCGGGATCCGTCTGGGACATGGCGCCAACCCCCCCTCACCTCAGAGCCGGGCAACGGCGGGGAAAAGGTA